CTGCCTTGTATGGCAGCAGAGGGTATCTAAGTGTCTGTTTGAGGTATTTAGAGAGAACCATTGACTGTAGCATATGATAGACCCTGGTGATGCTGCCACAAAATACCTGATAGACAAAGGACTAGATGGGATTTCAGTCCAGCCCTTCCTGGGCTTCTTACTGGTAGGTACTGTACAGGTGCAGCTCCAGTTCACATCAGCATGTATTCCTCACTGAAGTGTAGATCCTCTTCTCTCTTGAGCGAGAGACTCGTGGTTGATCTGGTGATGTTACATGGGGCTTATTTCTCATCGAAATCAAAACAGCTGCAGTGAAATCAACCATAAGGTGGGAGGAGAGGAGAGGAGGGGGGATGGCTTTGTGCTACAGGCAGCAAGCAGCATTTGTGGGCTATCTCCCCCTTCTCTTCCTGATCTGCCTTCTGTTGTGCCTCTTCCTTTCAGTCCAGTGCTCAAAGCCAAAAGTGGAAAATGGAAGAATGGTCAACCCCACGAGTGAAAAACCGTGGTACAAAGTGAATGAAACAGTCTCTTTCAAGTGCTCTCCGGGATACCAATTTTCAGGCCATTGGTACCTGCCTGTAACTGATACTTGGAAAATTACCTGTTCTGCAGATGGCAACTGGACAACGTTCCCCACGTGTGTAAGTGGCCTAGTGTGGTGGGATTTCTTGAGGCAGCCTGCCCAGGGTCTAGCATGGGACAGAAGAACTGTCTGAACTGTCCTTAAATATGTTTGCTTCATTCAAAAAATGAGCTGCATGACCAGGCAGGAAGAAGTGTCATGGATAAGATGGAAAGGGAAAAAATACACTGATCTGTAAGCAAAGAAATCCCTGATCTCCTCTCTTAATTTGAGAGATTTCTTCATTTTGTAGTGACAGCTCCAAGCAAAATACAAAATGTATCAAATTTGATTGATAAAACATCACATCAGTATAGGGTGTGTGAGCATGTGTGTGTTCTGATTTATTTGAAACCCAGTACAAAGCCAATATTATGACCCTTTAATGAGCAATTTCCAATGTGCTCAGTGCAGCACAGATGCATGAGAAGGCATGGTTTCTGTCTAAAGCTTACAGGCCAAATGTCTGATCCTAAATGTGGGTGAGACCCTCCCCAGAGGTGCTTAGTACTGCTGACTTCCATGGATACGAGGCTCCATGTCAGCCACAGATGGTACAAGACAGCCTTAGGGGAGGGCAATCCGGTCTACTGCCTGGGGCCCCACACTTCATAAAAATAAAAATTAATTGCACTGAATATTTGTATTATCAATATTGTATTAAGATTCTTTCGTTGCAGTTTCATGAATAGGGCAAAGTGAAATTGAAATTGGAAATGTCCGACTTGCTCATAGATCATCACAATTTAAGCCTCGAAGGGGCCCCAAATGAGTCTCTTGCCCAGGGCCCCAGCAACCCTAAGGCCATCACTGGAGGCAGGCATGTGTAGAATCATATCTGGATGCAGAAAGAAGCAAGTGCACTTAAGAGGGTAAGCCCTCATCTTCTGCAGCATAGTCACATACTGTCTTTTTCCTTTCTTTTTAGAGAAAGCAAGGCAGTTCTGCCATGTGTGATGTGGTACTTGACAGCAGAGCTGCTCTGCAGTGCGGTGTGCCCCTGGTGCAACTGAAGTCCCTGCTGGAAGTCCAGAAACTGTATCTGGAGATTGAGAAACTGAAGCGGGAGATAAAAAAACTAGGATAAATACCTGAAACTTGCACCCAAGTCATAACACACTGAGCCTTCTTGGGATATAGTTTGTATAACTGCAGTGTCCGTAGGAGGATGGCAACTGATTTCATAGTATGTGTTAGTGCACCCAGTAGGCTGAGGAAGATTAGCCAGTAGTTGAGGGAGCAGATTACATTGAGCTGAATGCCAGTAGTTTAGAGTTTTCTGCTTTCCTGACTCTCCTGCTAGTGAAGTGAAGTCCATACTCATGAACTAGGTATTTCAGGTTGTGCAGTGAGTTTTTTGTGTGGAATAGTAAATAGAGTCAACCCTCAGATTATTTGTTCATCTAGGAAAACATACCAAGCAAGGAGAACCTGGATTGAATTGCAGGAAAGTAAACATGCAGGTGAGATGAGCTTTGGACCCTCCTTAGATGGAGGTTTACATTGGCCAACCTCAGTCCTGCGGATGGCCCAGAATTCCTGTATGCTCAGTGTAACCATATATATTCAATGCTTTTTGACATGCATATGGGAAATAATACGGAGTGAGTGTTTGACTGTCTGATTTCTGCTAGCCTTCAATAAAGTTTTGGGCACCACCTTTGTGATCAAGCAATATTCATTTGCCAGCAACAAATAAAATTTTAAATCCAGCATAAATCCCATTCCCCCTCGTGTTGTTACTGGTGCTGATATGATCTATGGAATAATAGGGGAACATCCGATTCTAATACTTCTAATCTCACATCTTTTGCCACTGTTTAAAATTATCTGGGAGCATGGGGTCGCATGTACATTGGGTGTAGACCAGCCAGTGGAGGCTGCTTTGTGACTACGAGGAAATTTTTGGCCTGTAGCATAAGTAGGGAGGACTTTTCGGTAGCAGCCGCCTGTGTTTCAGAAGTCGTTCCTGTTTGGAGCCCATCAAAAAGGGGTTAGTGCTTCCATATTGGATTAATTTTCCTTGCAATTTGTCAATGACAGAAAAATAGCTATTTGGTATTCCCTTCCAGGACTAAATCTTAGCTCTTCTGAGAGATACACAGCTGTAGTTAGAAATGGACAGTATCTCCTATCTGCCTTCCTAATGCTATCTGAGCATTGCTAGCTAATCAGTTAATGTTTCCTATTCCATTTGTTCAGACATACTGACTATGAAATCCTTCTATTATTTTCTGAGCCAGCTGGCTTCCTTGATGTACATACAGACATGTAGCAGCTGGTCCAGCAGTACTGAAGTCATTTTCCGTCCTTCAGAAAAAGAGCAGGGCTGAGTTCCTTTCCAGACTAAAACCCTGGGCTACAGAAAGCAGGAGGAGCTGACAGAAACAAAATAGCAGCCATTAAATAACAAATGATCCCAGAAGGAGACCCAGAAATGTTCCCTACATGCAAGTAGTAGGTTGCTGGATCCCTTAAGGGCTACTGAATTCTACTGAATAGGGTTTATCCTCCAGACAGTGCAAGTAGGGATGGAGGCGTTTGAAATCTCCATGAGTTCATCCCAGCAACTGCAAGTTGGATGTGCTAAATGTGCCTAAGCATCTTTCCCGAGAGCTGAAGAAAGAAGCGCCCTCCACAGCAACACGCATACGTGCCCTTTCCCAAGGGCAGACTCTGCGATTAAGGGCTGGGGGGGGACTCAGAATTGAACTTGACCTGTGGTTTGCTACTTTTGAAGATATGCAAGTCTGCTAACTCTATGTGGCGATCACCACACATCAGGGGAAATGTATGGTTTCTTTGCAGGCGAGTACCACTAGATGCTGCTCACTCATAAACCATTAATCCAAGTCTCTGCTTGCTGCTCCTCATGCTGAGTACCACTTGACTGTGCCAGCTGCTCTAGGTACTAATCATCTGCACCATTTCAGATGAAAAAAGGAGCAGTAGGAGTCAGGCTCTAGTCCCCAGCCCAGTTCAGTTTGTCTACTAAAATGCATTCCCTTTAAAGAGCCTGCTTTTACCACTGTCAACAGTGAAAGGTCAGTGAGCAAAGGCAGGATTAACAGTTCTCTATGACAAACACCACGTATTGCGTGCATGTGTATGTGCTTTCATAAAATGGTTTAACAATGGTATTTATTAACATTGCTAATTAAAGCCACAGCATAACCTCTGAGGAAGCAAGCTCTTGCTTACAACATCTTCTGCATCTCTGATTCAGCTAGTATTTGAGGCGCATCTCCACCTGGCCTCCTGTCTAATTAAATCCAGATTCTTAATAACAACAGTGTGGGTTTCAAAATAAAAGGAGTGCTCAGCATGGAGCAGTGTCTACAGAGAGATGCAGTCTTAACCCTAACAAGCTTTTCTGTCTGTCGGTCGGGCTTGGGTATTGCTGCACTATCCAGTGCTTAGGTCATCTACCTGCCCATGGAATCATTCACCTATGATTCCCCAGGCTGCCATTTCACACCTCCTCTGCAGCTACCCTGAACCATACCCGAAACATCCTTGGTGAATGCAGGGGAAGCCACCTCACTGACACTGCAATGATGGGCAGCACTACGGGGTCATAATTAGTTCATTCATGCCCTTCCAGCCTGAGCATCTATGAATCGATGGTGGAGCCAGGTAAGAACGTATGAACCAGTGCAAGGCTTTTTAGGGACAAAAGTCCTCCCTGACCCCCAGTCTGGCATCTGCGGTGCCCTGAGCAGAAAAAGCCCACCCTCCAGCCAGAAACCTGGTTTTCTCAGTACTGGCAGAAGCATCGATGCACCTCAGGTGCAACCTCTGGCCTAGGCTGTGTCCAGTGCTCCAACACTTCAAAGCGAGGTGAAACAGAAAAATCCCCCGGGTGCCAAGAGCAAAAAGCATCGCCCCCAGCAGACCCCCGAGACCTGGGCTTACCAGTGGCCGTCCACACTGCAGGAGCTACTTTTATTCCCCTGCAAGTGCGGAGCCTCCGCCGTCGTGGCCCTGCCGGTGCATCCCGAGGGCTTGCCTGGCTCCACAAGAATGCCCTGGGAAGCAGCCAGAAGAATTACCTAAAACCTCGGGAATTTCTCCCAAATAGGACAGAGGGAAGCCTGTGTCCACGCAGCTCCTTACTCCTCCCTCGCTCGGTCTTGCTGCCCGCGGAAGGAAGGACTTGGCAGTCCCGGGCTCACGCTGCGAAGAGCCCTGCAGCCGGGCTGGAGCCGTCTAGCCATGGGCTCGCTCCG